ACAAAATCTTAATGAATTTCAGGCCTAGTCCCACCCGTTAGTTTTGTTTGGGGGGTGGGGCCCCTTCTCTCTGGAAATGGTCCTTCTTTTGCTCTGATCAGCTCTCCTGATTTACTTTTAGGTAATTACTTGCTCTGCTCCGTTTTCTGTCCTCTCTGGAAACCCCATTATACTGACCTCTTGAGGCCGTCTTCTGATTTTTGTCTCCCTTCTGAGATTTTATGTCTACAGTTTTTTGCTCTACTTTCTGGGAGATTTCTTCAACTCTATCTTCACAATCTTCTCTTGAATTTTTAATTTCTGAATTTTTTTTCAATTTCTAAAATCTTTTTCTTAACTGTCCTTTGTTCTATAGTATCTTGTTTCTTTGACACCGTCTCTGAGCGTCTTAATGGTGGTGTATGTGTGTTTCTTAATTATCTTCCTTCATTGTTCTGTTTCCTTTCCAGTTGCTGCGTTTTGATTTGTTGTGATTTGTCTTTCATATATGTGGTTTTGCTCACGTCTGTCTGGTAATCCTTGGTTTTCCGCTCATGTCTAAAAGGTGGGCTTACCAGCTAATTGGGAGTTCCTGAGAACATGGAGCTCGTTGGCTGCGTCTCTGTAGGGAGACTCGACAGGCCCGTTTAGGTAGAGAACCTCTGACTCCCTGAGAAGAGTCCCAGTCTCCTCCCTGGAAGGAGCTGAGCCTGCAGCCAGCACCCCCACTGCTGGGCAGTCTCAGCATGTACTTCACTTACTCTTTCCCTGTTCTCAGCACGGTGTCCCCACCCTTCACTGGGCCCTGTGACCTTCATTCCGGGGACCTTCTCCTCCAGAAATGGTGAGGCGGCTGCCAGACGCTGGGGTATGGCAGAGGGGCTAGGCGCCAGCCTGGGTCTCCAGCAGAGCGGTCATCAGCCCACCCTTCTGAACGTGTGGGGGCCCCACAAGTATGAATTGGTTCACTCTTGGCTTCACCACCGCAGGCTCCGGGTCTGTTTTCTGGGGCTCCTGCTAAATTCTTGACCACTCATCCATCTGCTCTCCAGCTTCCAGAACTGGTTTCTCCTTTCTTTGGTGTTCCTTCAGCCCTTGTGAGCCAATTCTTTTTCTGAAAGGCATCTGGGGAGGAGCAACCATGTGTGCAGACAACCATCTTTATCCAGAACCTAGTAATTCTTCCAGGACGAGTTATGTTGTTTGCTAAATTTTAGCCTCTGGCAGCCTCTTACTATATCTGTGTCCTAATGAAATAGTGTTTAAAATAATTTCTGAGAGCCTTGTGATGGTCAGGCTTCAAGGAGAAGATTGCTCCCTCCACCCAGCTGTGTCTCTTCACCTTACCCAGTCATTGTGCTTTTGTTCCTTAAAGAGATTCCTAGTTGAGATCTTAATAGCACCTCATCTTGCCTTGTTGTGCCAAAGTCTGGTATTTTGCAGTGCTTTTTAATGCTTATGAGGAGCCAACAATTTATTTTAAAGATTGAATTACACAAGACTCCTGTTCCTTGAGCTGTTGATCCAAACGAGTGGTTAGCAATTCTGTTAATTAGCTAAATCCTTTACTCCCTGTCAGGGTATCGTCATTTCACAAACACAGAGATCTGCTGAGAGTCATAACATTACTTGTTAGGACAAGTTACCTGTTACCTTCTACTTGTTAATACAAGTGTTTCGTGTATTGTTGTAACAATGTTTTTTGGCCCTTAGCCGAAACTTTTGCTTGCTGCTCTCGTGCAGATCTAGTGCAAATTAGAAAGTGGTTTTTGCCAGCTCAGTTCTGCTTTGAGCCGTTTCCTGGTTGCAGCTGATTGTTCGGTGCTGCTGTAGTAATCGCAGGGGCTTCAGGCCCTTCCAGGCAGTTAGACTGTAGACAGCCTTCGCAAAGGGGCGGCCCCGCAGACGGCATTCGGACAGAGCGCAGACCCACAGGTTTAACTTGCAGACTCCTTCCTTCAGTCTTTTCCCATTTCAGCTACTGTTACAAATTTCACAGGTTAGCATATGTCTGCAGAGCAATCAGAATCAGCAGTGGACAGGCCAGTTAAAGCTGGTGCATGATGCAGGCTGCTGGTGCGGAAGATTAAATGCTGGCCTTTAGTTGAGGGGGACGCTGTGCCACTAACTCATCCCCTAGAGCAGGGTGGGCAACCACTGGCCTCCAGGTCAAACCCCACCTGAGGCCTGATTTTACTGTCCTCTAAGGAGATTTTTACAGGTCTCAGGGTAGTTTTAAAAAAAGATGACGGTAATGAAGACAAGAAAGAAGAGGAGGAAGAATCGAAGGCAGGAGGAAGAGGAGAGGAGGCTCAGCAGTGGCTGTATGCACGTGCTCTGCAAAGCCTCAAAGACTGATTTTTGGGCTCTTTACAGAACCAGTGAGCCCACCCCTAGTCTAGACACCGCTGGCTCAGCCTCACTCCTTTCCTGTCCACACACTTCTCCCCCGGGCATGGAAACTTCTCCAGGTTTTCTCCCTAAGGCTTCAGCAACTTAAATATGTATGTGTGTTTGTGTGTGGTTTCAAAAACATTTAATTGTAGATAGATCTGAATCATCAGCTCTCAGGTGTGTGACATCTAAGTGGATTTACCAGCATAAAGACCCATGATAGAGTATACCCCTAGCTGCATTGGGAAAACAGCAAAATTATGAACAGTGTATTTGTAAACGCTTTGGCTTTACTTGGAGATACTTTCAGAAAGGTATGTGTTGAACTTGTTTCTCCTTGTAAGTAGTAAGTATAAAATGTAAACAAAATTAAAACATGCTTTTATGATACAAGTATCCTCTTATTTACTGAAAGCCTAACCAAAGAAAGGCTTTTACTTAAACAGTTAACTGTAGAATTAGATAGGAATTTTTAAAAACTAAGACTTACCAGTGGTTCTTCCTCACTGTAGGCTTTCTCATCTCACAGCATTTCCGTCTACTTACTCTAAGCATCGACATAGCATTTCCAGGTGAATGTTCCAAAAACTTAGCTCTGATCCTTCCAAATCAGTCTAGTCAATGGGAGGAAATTAAACCAAACAAGTAAATTATCAAACATTCCTCTTTGCAGAATGTCGCTCAGTGTGAAAGTCCTGGGAAAGAAATGTGGGGCGG